CAAAATATTGTAAAATGTCTATAACTTTGTAGGGAAGATCTAGATGTCGTATATTGGTTTAGGTTTTTAATATCTCATCGGAATTTATCTTATGCATAGAGTGCGAATTCAAAAGTGATTTTCAAGTTGGGAAAGTTCCTTCGTAAGTAATATTTTATAAGAACAATAAGATTTTAACAATATTTTGTATTCCTTAATGAAAAGAAAGTACAATAGAATATCAGAGTTTTTAACTTTAAAATATCTCATAAAGAAAAAGAATTCTAAATCATACTTATTAAATCTTACCAATTTTTGATTGTTAATAAACTGATCAATTCGAAGAATATCATCCCAAACAAGTATACGAATTCCAGGTCGAATTTTACGAACAATATTAACAATACGTTGTATATGACTTTAAAATAATGAATGAATTTTTTTCCTTAATCTCTTTTTTTTCATACTTACTTAATATATATTTCAGATATACTCCTATCTGTTTCAGGACATGCAGGATTAGAATATTTTAAAATAACTTCATCACAACCAATATGAATTATATTACTATCAAGATGCATATCAAGTGTTTGTTGTAAAAGATCTAAATAATTTTAAAGTTGTAGAAAAAATTTTTTTCATAAAATTCAAAAATAACCTTCAAGTAAAATGTAAGTATTATTAAGACATGGTGATATAGCCATTGGTAAATTTAGATCATCACGATATGATCTAAATCTCTCTAATTTAAGTATCCATTCTAAATGACCAAATGTTTGAATAAGTGGAATAATTTCAAGTCCATGCTTTTTTGCAGCTTCTTGTATTAATGCAATATCCGATTTTGTATAAGCACCATGATGAGAAATCTTTAAATAAAATTTTTTTTTTAATTCTCAATTGTTCAGAGTCCTGGAAAGAGTCAGGTTGATAAGTCCGACAAATCTTCGTCGGATCCAGCATTTGTAGATCCGAAGAGTCTAAGTATGCGACTGAAGAGAAGACACACACACCTACATCTACTCTTTCTCATAATAAAATAAATTCTCATATCTATCGAAATCATCCAAATATATATAGGATTTAATCAATTTTATGAAAGCAGTAGAAAAAAAAATGCGCATAGAATATTACCTTCCGGTACATCGAAGCAGAAAAACAAACGAATAGCAGTATTAAAAAGTCAAATAAGCACATTGTACAATCGATATAATAATTATCTCATTACAGCATTGAATCTGCTCCACGGTTTGTCTTTTATTATAACGAAAAAAAAATGTAATGATTGTACAATAAGAACATTATTCAAGATTGATAAACTAAATATTTCAAAGTATTTTTGCTTGCCTTTTATCCTTTCTTCTTCAATAATAAACATTTGATTCGAATTTAACTGCTTGATTTTTTTTAATTTTCTGAACGAAAAAATATTCAGAAGTCTTCACCTCAGTTTTCAACATTTGTACTAACGGATAGTCCATAAAGAATAAGAATCTCTGTATTTTCTCAATATGTGCTCTAGTTTTCATAGATTCGGACTGAAATTTTTCTTTTTCAAAAGATTCAAAATTTAGTTCTCTTCAAAACGATACACAATTTGTAGAGAATTAAATGCTGAATCTTGTGAAAAAAAAAGTAGGTCGCATCTATGAAAACCCGAGAAGGTACGATTACAGATTTTTTAAAGGATTCTCTCGGAGACTCAAATTAAGCACTACCACAGGCAGTATGAATATCCGTGGAAGGCATCATATGGAAGATATTGAGAAAATACGAAGATCCTTATTCTATGTGAGCCATTCGTTATTTTGTTTTTTCAACTTTATACTTTCGACTACAGTTGGGACAATCCTCGGGAAGTGACTGTCCAATTTTGAAAAGTTTTCGTTTTTCTCTAACGGAATTCCAACATTTTATTATTCTTTTTTTGGTTACCAATTCCTAAGAAAACGTTCAGTCCTCTCCTCTCAAATTCGATCAACTTTAGCAAAAACTTTCCAATCAACCTCGTGAGTCATCGACTCCCTCCTCAATTCTGACGAGCTCTATTGATCACACACGGAATCAATAATATAGAGGAGATGCTTAAATTACTCCGCGTAATAGATAATTTGTCTGATTTACCAACTCGACCTAGTGCAGAACCCTATAATAGTTTTTTTTATACTTACATTTACAAGGTTACCTTGTAATGGAAGTGTATCTTCATATTCAATTAGCACACCTTTTATTCCCATTTGTAATTTTTCAAGAAAATTAAAAAATGATTCATAAAATTTATTTGCTTTTGGTGGTGCACCTTTTAAATCTAGATGAATATATTTAGCTAAATCTGGTCGACCATAATTTAATTGTTCTATTGCTATATCATTAGATTTTTTCTTATAAAATGCATCTTGTGGTAAAAATGGATTATTAAATGTATTATCATAGAATTGAATTTTATCATTTGATGTTGATGACCATCGTGAGTAAAATGTGAAAATAATAATAAGAAATAATAAACAAATAGAAAGTTGAATTAAGCGACGTACTTTTATAAACATTACTCGACCAATTAATTGTGACATGTTTAATAGATTTTAGGAATTCAAATTCAAATTTAATCAAGACAAAAGAATGAATATGAGATAGATTAAATACAAAATGTATATTTATTTAGTAGAAAAAATCTCATACAATGATGTTAATAACGAGTTTTATTTTATACGCCCTATATGCAGAAGCAATGAACCGTGAAATGCATAACACAAAAAAAAAGTGACTGGTTGAATGTATCATAGTTATGCTTGCATAGAAATTCATCTTCAATCTATTTTTTTTTTCTTTGCAGTTATTTATCAATTCTCATAAGACTCAATGATTAAATTAAACAAAATTTTATATTAAAGTATTTTTTTAGTATTTTGCCGCTTTAATGAAGTCATCATTAATCATGTTCGTTTTCGAGATATTGTAATAAATTTTGTAGATCTTTTCTGAGTATGGAATTAAAGATAATATCATTATGTTTATATATCTGTTCTTTAGTTTTTTTTATTTATTCATGTTCTCATGTAAAGTCATTCATGATCATAATTGAAAAAGAAGAAAAAACAAAGGAGACATGAAGAAAGTGTTTTTTTTTAAAGAATGAGGAACATCATATGCAGTCATTACCTACAAATATAATGTTATTTGTTAAAACGTGCAGTTTTTGTTTTTCTTTTTGATGAAGAAAAAAGAAATGACAAGATGAAAGAGAAAAAAAACTATAGACACACATATAAAGAAAAATATGAAAGAAAGAAAAAGTTCACCATCCTAATATTTTGAAAATATTTGTGATGCAATATGATCCGAATATATTAGTTTCCTAAAGTTCATGGGCATACTTTTGAGTCCAATCATGAGCTAAAATAATAGAGAAAAAGTTTCAATTATTAATTGTCATTATGCATATACAATATTTTATATAAGTATCAAAGATTAATTTAAATCAGAAAATGTTGTTATTTGATATTTATTAATAGCGAAAGAACTATACTTCAAAACGAAGAACAATTTTTATTAATGTGAACAGATCTCTTTGGTTGTTTTTTTTTTTATCTTTGGATATTCACAAAGGCGTTCATCCATAATAGATGTTCAATAGAGCGCGTTAAGTTGGTTTCGAAAACTTCGGACCCGACAGACTCTCTAACGTTCGGGTAAAACTCGAATGTCCATTTTCCTGAATGTCCAGTATAAAACACACAAAACAATTTTCTAGAAAGAGACTATTTATTTAAATATATTATATTTTGACGAGCAGAAAATAATAAAAATAAAAAAAAATGAACTTCAATAAAAATAGCACTCAAAAATCTAATAAAGCCTTCAGTTATTTATTTCGAATCATTCATTCGATAATATGCTATGTTGTGACATATACCTGCTCTTGTGATTAGTTAGCGTGTATGGAGAACTCAAGCAATTGAGCGCAAAAACTCAACATAAGACCGATGTTTTGTCTATTATTACAGCTAGTCATAATTGTAGGGAAGATATTAAGCAATTGAATCTGCCGGTAGGTAGCTCTTCTTCCTCCTCAATCCAGTTTTCATGCATCCTCCTCTACCTCAACATCTTTTATGGATGATCCCAAAAAAAAAAACTGCTTTGTTCGTAATTGTGTTCTCGGAAATTTAATCGATCATGATCATCGATATGTGGGTGTGGGTGTTTAATCGTGAATGAATAGTACTTAATATAGATTTAATTCATATGTTGACTCGTAATAGTACTCGTTTTCTTCTTTCATATTGTGAAAAGGAAAAGGTATAGTCTTTGAAAAAAATATTTTCAAAAGACAATTTAATTTGATCTATTCATAATCATCATAAAGACATAAATTTTCTTCATCTTACCTATTGCTTTTGCTCCTTTTTCATCAGCTTTCCATTTTTCAGCTACATCAGCATCCAAAAAATCATCGGGATTAGGTGCACTTAATAGAGCTTGAATAGATAAAAGAACAGTACGAATTTGTAAAGCTGGACTCCATTTTTCTATAAATAAAAATAAAAAAAAAACTTAGTTAATATTATATTTACCTTTGAGAATATCTAGACAAATTCGTCCTAATTTATCAATATTTGGATGATAAAGTTTTGTCATAAAACGAACTTTAGGTGGTGCCATTGGATATTCATCTGGTAAAAATAATTCTACTTTAAATTTACCACCTTCATATGGACTCTAAAAAATAAAATAAAATTTTGAAACATTTAAATTATTTCATTATGATATTAATACTTCACTTGGGCCATCAATGATAACTTTAAAATAACGAGCATTATGTTCATCTGGTGTTGCAACAATACCCGGTACTGGTTCTTGTTGTAGTCGAGCACTTTCCTAATAAATAAAATTTATGATAAAATAATCTATAGATAAACTTATTAACATACCTTAACAATACGTTTAGTCAAAGCTCCGTTCTCATTCATTTTTTATTTGTCTTTAATAGAGATATAATTTATTAAATCTAAATTAATAAACATAATTTAATCATCTTTCTATTTTGATATAATCGTTTCTTTTTTTTTGTATGAGAAAAAATTTTTACTGGTTTATTAGTCGAGAACGTTTGCTGTTCTTTTGTTGTTTATTTTGTTTTTTTTTTTCTATGATTAAAAAAATTCAGCGCGACATCTATGATAAGAATATCAATTGATATCGCGTTTATCAAAATTTGAGATAAGTTATCCAGCATGTCAATCATTGTTTTCATATTTATTGTAATTAATAATTAAGCAAAGAGAAACTATTGAAAATGAATTAATATTGGTAAATTATGGATTGACAGACAAATATTCATAAGGAACTTTTTAAATAAATTGCATATATCCTATTAAATATAAATAGTTAATCAGCATTGTAAGCGAATGATACCATAGATTTTGAAAAATAATTCTGAACAAACTTTTTCTCTTTTTCGACGATTAATTTATAAATCTCAAACTCACATTTCGAAAGTATTACATGTCATACAAAAGTTGGCTTTCATATGACAGATATTGAAAATGCCTTTCCTCGGATGAATTAGCTTAATTCTAATGATTGTTCGAATCCATAAACAATATTTTCTAGGATTTCTATAATGTAAAATTAAACTAAAGGAAATGTACTATAATTGACATTGTCTTTCTATTTATTCGATTTAAGCTGTCTGAACGATGTTTAGCTTGGATAGAATTTTGTAAAGTATCTTACGAACTTCAAAGACTGTTATTTATGTTTGTTGACGTGTTCTAGAAAGTGGAAGTTGTAGTTGCTTTTTTTTGTCGGTTCACTGGGATTGATGTATTTTCTTTTTTTTAAAATTTTAATCAATTATCTGTCTGTTATTGTTTTTCACTATTCAGATTATATTTACATAAATTTCATATAGAAAAAAACATTATTGTTTTATTTATCAATTTCACTTTTAAATAGTTAAAATTTAGTAATAATAATTATCAATCAATGCTAGTGACACCTTACATTCTAAAAAATAAAAATTCGATTGGTTATTTATTTCACTACCTGCAGTTGCCATATATTTTATGCATCATCAAACAGAGTCTACTTGAATTGTTTTCTCAATTTATAAACTTGTTCTTTACTGTAACTGAAGGAAAGTTAACGTGTTCAAGATATCTATTATTTTATAAAAATAATCTTTTCTAGTATTCGTTTAGCAATTATTTCATAGTAAATTTGTGGTAATATTAAAGGTGGTTTTTTTCGCGGTCAAAAATTTTATCTATCTTCTGGTATTATATAGAATAGCATAAGATCGGATAGTTTTATAGCGGGAAACACTCACTTTATAATCACCATATCATACGATGGAATATCTGCTAAACAAATACACTCAAGCATTATTATTATTATTATTATTATACATATATGGCGGCCTTGAGCAAAATTTCGAAAATATTTGTATTCACAATAGTTTAACTTTATCATGTTTTTTTCGTATTTTAATTTCGAAAAAGATTCAATGAATAATGTCCTTTTAGATTGCTATTTAAAAAAACACTGCATGGCTTCGGCTTTAATGGAAGCTGAAGAACCATCAATTGTGATGGACAATGCTCGAATAGTTGGTCTTGAATCACAAATTCTTAATTCACAAGAAATAATAGTACGTCTTAATCGTGAATTAGATAGTGCATTACTTCGTATAGCAACACTTGAAAATGTTTGTTCAGAAAATCAAAATGATCTTCATGAAAAACGTAATCGTATAAATGATTTAATCGATGAAATTGATGAACGAGAAGAAATGAATGAACGTTTAAAACAAGAATTATATGAAAAAGATGAAAAATTAAAAACTTTAGATGATATAATTATTCAACTTAAACAACATATTAAACAAGAAAATATTGATAAAGAACAACGACAAACACATGAAAATATTCATTGTCAACAATGCCAATTTCTACTTAATGAATTTGGAAAAACAACAGAAAATTTTTCCATTAATAATCTTCATTCTCAAATTATGTTTGATAGACAATTATGTCAACTTATTCTTCACGATCTTGGTAATAATAATAATAATTATGATTATTCATTGAATAATTCTCCACAAGAAATTCTTGATCAATATCATAAACAAGAACGTTTAAAATTTCATGATCTTCTTCAAAAAAGTTTAATAACAGAAGATATATCTAATCTTATTGATTCTGATGATATTTTATTTGAATTATTAACACATTTAAATAGTCTTATTCGTTTAAAAGAAACACTTTCAAATGATAGTAAAGAATTACAACATATTCGTTCATTACTTCATTTAACAACAGATGATGATAATAATAATAATAATGATGAATTTATTCAAGATTTAATTAATAAACGTGAATGTATAAAATATTTACGTACAAAAATTGATAATAATCATAATTTTACTGATTATGAACTTATTAAACATGTTTTACATGATTATTTTAATTTTCAACAACAACAAATTGAAATAAAAGAATATTTACATTTAAATATTGATAATAATAATGATAATGCTTTGAATTATTCAAGACTTTTAATTGAACGT